GTGAAGAATGATGTAAGCTGCAGTTCCACTATAAATGGAGGGCTGTCCCATTCTCACTCCTGTCCTAGAAAGTCAAGGATCAGAATACCTTAGGAGAACTGAACTGAAACATCAGCCTAACTTTGAAATTATTTGCATGGTGCAGTGGATTGAGTGTTGGACTGTGACTCTGGAGATCAGGATTTGATTCCCTTCTCATGCACAAAAACCCATCTTGGGCAAGTCACATAGTCTCAGGAGATGGCAATGGCAAAGCCCCTTTGAAGGAACGTGCCAAGAAACCCCTATGATAAGTTCACCTTAGGATCTCCATAAGTAAAAAAAATGACTTGGAGGCACACAACAACAATGTGGACGCTTGTCCCTTGTCTGTGGCAGGTAGTTGGGGAGAAGATATGAGATCAATGTACACCTTGTCACCCTTTTGTGGTGGAGGGTTGGGCTCTGGAAATGTCTCCACGGGACACAAGACCAGGAGGCCGGGGAAAGAGTCTGCCCTTGGGGCTGATCTATTGGCTTACTTTCTCTTATACAGTTGCTTGGGAGGGAGGCCCTCAGGTTGGCCTTCCAAAAATGACCATCCAAGATGGCAACCAACCTCTTTTGATTGCTCTTGGTGCCTTGTGTTTCACCCAAAGGTGGCTGGGGAGCTGTCTCAGGTTGACAGCTGTGCCTCAGCTAAACCTGCACCAGATGCGTCCCCCCTTCATTTGTTCAGCCCCAAGTTTCAAACATTTAACTAGGTTTTAGGTCAATAAAGATTGTTTAACCCCAAATACTGTGTCTGGTCTCATTATTTAATGGTTGGTCAACAAATTGCTACCATTTTCTACTTTTTTTTCAGAGGGAGCATAGAGATGAACAAGTTCACCAATTATGCAATGGGAATATAGCTCCTCTGTATTGACAAGGCAATAAAGGACACTATTTTGGGGGGTGGAGAGGATAAGAACATAAGAGGAACCATATTGGATCATACTAACTCAGTTGCCTATATGAAGCCTACCATCAGGACATGAGAGCAACTGCACCTTCATTTTGTGCTCCCCAGCAACTAATATACAGAAGCAGACTGCCTTTGATTCTGGACTTAACATACGGCCATCTTTACTAGCAGCCACTGATGGTCCTAACCTCCACAAATTTATCCACTCCCTTTTTAAAGTCATTCAAATTCATAGCCATAACTACATCTTACAGGAGTGAGTTCCATATTTAACTAGATGCTGCCTGAACTACGGGCCTCGGCAGACGACTAATTGAGTCGTCTTCCGGGCCCAGAAGAGGAGGGGCAGCCGCACGTTCGGTGCCCCTTCCTCTCCCTGAGGTCGCCCTCGGAGTCGCCGGCCCTCCGCACGGCCGGCGCTCCGGGGAAGACCTCACGCCGTGGCAGCCGAACGCGCCGCGGCGGAAAAGACAGCGAAAGTGCGCCCGCCGCTTTTAGTGCGCACTTTCGCTGTCTTGAGGAAGGAGCGCTGATTTAGCACTCCTTCCAGGGTCGCCGGCGGTGCGCCGCGGTGCGGCTGCCGCAGTCCAGCGGCGCTCCGTCCCGCGGCGCACGGGAAGCTCCCGTCTGCTTCCCCCCTACATTTCCTTTTATCTACCCTGAATCTTCCATCCTTTAGCTTCTGTTGATGAACCCAAGTTGTAGTATTAAGAAAAACTTAATTTGATCTACCTTCTCTATGTTGCTGTTCTTGTTGTGTGCCTCGAAGTCATTTTTGACTTATGGCTTATGGTGTTTTTGACTTATGGATTTGAAAATTTGGGGAAGAAAGTGAAACACTTCTAGCTCCAAGTATTTCAGATAAGGGAGACTCAATCTACCCACAGAGGAAGTTAAATTCATGCTGAAGAGGAGTTTTTAATGCTCTGCTCCTACCCCAGAATAATGTTGAAAAATTGGCTTGATAACAAGAATCTTTATAAGAATAAAGAATATAAGTATAAAGAAGAAAGAATAGGAATATAAGTATCACTTTCTCCCCAGGAACCATAAAACCACCCAGGGTCAAGGGTTTTCCCAGCAGACAATGGATCACTCATTAAATAGACACACAAATCTTCCTTGCATATCCTCCCAGCCTGAGGCCTTGTTGTTCAACAACAGAACAACACACAGGTTAACATGCAATTCACTTCCTCTCAACCAAGGGTCACACAGTATATATATACCCCACTCACTTCCATGCCAGCATTCTCTGAAGATGCCAGCCACAGCTGCTGGTGAAACCTCAGGAATAAATTCTTCCAGAACAAAGCCACATAGCCTGGAAAACCCACAAAAAAATATAGATTGTGTTTCTTAGAAGCTTTGGAGATGTGTGTATGTAATGAAAAATGAGGTACAAATATTTGTGAGTTAAGTACAGGTTGACTCTCCCTTATCCAAAATGCTTGGAACCTGAGGTGTTTGGGATTGTGATTTTTTTTTTTTTTGGATTTTGAATTTTCATAAACATACATAATGAAATATCTTGATGGTGGAAGCCATGTCTAAACACAAAATTCATTTATGTTTTGTATACATCTTACACAGAGCACCTGAAAGTAATTTTATACAATATTTTAAATAATTTTGTGCATGGAACAAAGTTTGTGCACACTGAACCATCAGGAAGCAAAGGTGTCATTATCTCAGCCGTCCATGAAAAGAGTTGTGATTGTTAGAATATTTTGAATTTTGAAATTCTGGATAAGGAAGACTCAACCTGCAAAAGCTAAACAATTTGAAGGTTACTGAGTGACTTCAGATGTAGCTGAGTGACCCCAGATGTAGCTGGGGACACCGTTGAGGTAGGGGAGAAACAAAATCTGCCTTTAAGATGCTGACTAGCAATTGGCATTGCTAATCTAGGAGGGTAGAAAGGAAGGAAGAAAAGTGCCACCCACAGTGCTTAGCTCTGCCAGTGCACTTGTGCAATTGAACAAGGCAGGAGAGTGATGAGGGGGATATAAGAGAGCAAAGCTGACATACTGACATGGAGTTTTGAGCAGTATGAAAAGCTGACTGTACTGGGTAGGGTTGAAATGAAAGCTCATTAAACGTATGTTCATTACACTTTGGGATTTTTTAAAAATTTTCTCTATCCTTCTTTCAATTATTTATGAGTAGTGAAATTTGGCACCTGTTAGACTGAGGGATGAGAACTGAAGATATTTCATTTGCAATAGAAGCAATGGGGTGGACACTTCAATGAGAAATGTGATGTTCTGGATGTTGATGGTTTTTGTTTTGCTGTTGTTGTCCTTTTGCTTAAGCAATAATTGACGTAGAGTCTCAGTCATTCATTTTAATTGTGTGAGTGTCAGTCAAGGCAATTTGAGGGGAGGGGGAGAGGGAATTCCATTCTAAGGACAAACACAGGCCACCTTTTCTTGTTAGACAATGGGGGGAAGCAGACGAGAGCTTCCCAGACGCCCTGGGCCGGCGCGCCGCGGGGCCGCAGCCTCCACACCTCGGCGCACCGGCGGCGACCCTGGAAGGAGCGCTAAATCAGCGCTCCTTCCTCAAGACAGCGAAAGTGCGCACTAACAGCGGCGGGCGCACTTTCGCTGTCTTTTCCGCCGCGGCGCGTTCGGCTGCCGCGGCGTGAGGTCTTCCCCGGAGCGCCGGCCGTGCGGAGGGCCGGCGACTCCGAGGGCGACCTCAGGGAGAGGAAGGGGCGCTGAACGTGCGGCTGCCCCTCCTCTTCCAAGCCTCCAAGACGACTCTATTAGTCGTCTGCCGAGGCCCAATGTGGAGAGAGTTTTATGGTGCGTACCTAATTACAAGAAGAGTTAGGGAAGGATAGCCAGCTGAGTGTTTTATAGGCCTCATTCTTTGGGAATTTGTCACGAATGGTTCCCTTGTATGTGAGGAGCAACCAAGTTGAAATATCTGACTTTCCACAGAGGAGCAAGAAGAGTAATAACATTTCCTGGCACTCTTCAGGGAAGAATAAAGACATAAATGTACATCACTAGTACTGTATTCCTTTTACCTATTTAAGGTGGGGAAGTAGGGAGGAAAAGAAAGCAACGACACTTAGCAATACTGAAAGGGAAGACTTTCACTGCTGACATCCATAGTTTTTTGTGGGTTTTTCAGACCATGTGGCCATGTTCTGGAAGATTTTATTCCTGAAATTTCATTAGCATCTATGGCTGGCATCTTCAAAGAATGCTGGCATGGAAGTGAGTGGTGTATATATACTTGTGACCCTTGGTTGGGAGAAGGTGATTTACATGTTAATCTGTGTTGATCTGTTGTTGAATGGCAAGGCCTCAGGGTGGGAGGATATGCAAGGAGGATTTGTATCTTTTCAATTAGTGATTAATTTGCTGGGAAAACCCCTGACCCTGGGTGGTTTTCATTTGCATTTAATTTGCTACCAGTCCTGAAAAACACCAAAATCAAGACCCAGCAAATGCAAATTAAATCCACCCAGGGTCAGGGGTTTTCCCAACAGACAATGGATCACTCATTAAATAGACACACAAAACCTCCTTGCATATCCTCCCACCCTGAGGCCTTGCCATTTAACAACAGAACAACACACAGATTAACATGAAAATCATGTCTTCTCAACCAAGGGTCACACAGTATATATATACCCCACTCACTTCCAGGCCACCTGGTCTCCAATGATTCCCTACAAAACTGGCTTCCCCTATTTATATCAGCCTCAACTTACACCTCAAGTTCAGAAATGCAACCCTGATGTAAACTGAGACCTGGCTGAGCTGTAATGGCATTTTAAAATCACAAACAAGTGACCTCAAAATCAAACTGATTTATGTAATGTGAAAAGCAACTGTTTAAAACAAAACAAAACAAAACTCAGATCCCTTTCACCAGCTCTACCTACTAGAAGAAGCCATCCCTTTTCTAAAGCTGAGACCTTTCTTAGGAAAAGTTCTTTGTATAACTCTGACCCCTCCAACTTGGCTAAAAGCAATGTTAGTCCCAAATAGAATAGTCCCACTGAAACCAGTGTGAGTTATTTAATTGGTAACTTACAAGTGTGGTGTAGTGGTTTGAGTGTTGGATTATTATTCCAGAGAACAGAGTTCAATTCCCCACTTGGCCATGAAGGGCAAGCCACATGCTCTCAGCCTCCTCAGGGGAAGGCAATGGCAAACCTCCTCTGAACAAATTTTGCCAAGAAAACCCATGACAGGTTTGCCTTTGTGTCACCATAAGTCAGAAATGACTTCACAGTACACAACACACACACACACCAAATACAGAATTATAACTAAATGAAATTAATTGGACCAGAATGTTGAACACACCCAAGTAGATTTTTTTTAACTGTTGTATTTTTTAACTTGCTGTAAGCCGCCCCGATTGCCGAGCAGAGGAGTGGGTTATAAATAAAACTTATTAGTATTATTATTAGATAAATACTGTTAACTGTTCAAAGCAGGCTAATTTCTTACAGAATAGTATGTTAAGTTGGGCTGACTATCTCTGATGAGGCCTTCATTGACCACACTAAATGATAGTCTAAAACTTTTGACATTGGATTATATGTATCATGATTGTGTGTGTCATGGGGCAAGTAAGATACAGGGGGGATGAAGACAGACGGCCTTGGGCCACCCCAGAAACAGAGGATTGAGGCCAAGGCTGCCAGATGCATCGGCCCTGATCCTCCCTTTTGCCGCTTGGGAAAGGAGTGCCAAAATGCTGCTCCTTTCACAGGTGGCAAATAGGGCACCCAAAGAGCTGCCGCACAGCTCTTCTGCATCCCTTCTGGCGCAGCCTGTTAAGATGCTGTGGCCAGAGGACATCTTGACAGCGTGTGCTGTGGGTAATAATGCACGCCATAATGATGTCCTCGGAAAGGGGTTGGGGCACCCGGCATGTGGCTGCCCCTCCCCTTCCCTGCCTCCAAGATGGTGCAAAGCGCTGTCTGTAGAGGCCCACAGTTTTTGCAAACACGCAAAACACTGTGGAACATAGTTTTTTGTGGTTTTTTCGGGCTGTGAAGCTGTGTTTTATAAGAATATATTCCTGATGTTTCCTCTGCATCTGTGGCTGGCATCTTCAGAGAAGACTGAAGACAGAGAAGACTGTGGAACATCATTAGTAAAAAAAGACATAGGAATAGCACATACATAAACTGACCAGTCTACAGTATTATAAATATTTGTCCGTAAGAGATGCATCTCTGTCTGCAGTCTCCTCATCCCACTGCCCCGTTAATTTCTGACTGAAATTTCATACAGAAAATTGTCGAGTTTGGAAAAGTATCTTTTTTAGACTACAGCTCCTCAGATCCTCTGGTCAACATGGCTATGTACCATGCTGACTAGGGAATTCTGACAGTTGTTGAAAAAAGTAACTTTCCCAAGCTCTGAAAAGAGTCATGTGAAGAGTAAAGGACTTGAAAAAATAAGTTTAGTTAAAAAAAAAAAAGGTTCAACTATTTATTCAATCATGGATCCAGAAAAACAAATGTTTATTTTGTATCTGGATCCTTTGCTTTCCCCAGCAGTGTTTGTTACACATTCACAGACTTCTAAGTAATGGATCCTGTTTTCCTCTGTGGGCTTTACTGTCCAGTCACCATTCTTGCTAGAGTCATACTAGTCAGTGTATACAGAATTATACCTATTTGTAATAATGCATCATCAAATGTCTTCTCAATTGCACAACTACTTGCTTCCTTGACTCCCTCCCCCTTAACCTTACTTTTCTGTCCTATACCCTATCCCACATGCCTTCTGGGGTTTTTATTTTATTTTATTTTCACTGCTTTGTGCAACTCTGGAGCTCTGCTCTGCAGTTTAATTTGTTTTTTTCCAAAGGGAAGAAATTTAAAATGGTAATCAGGCTGCATTGGAATAGTAATGGGGAAGGGGGACAGGAGATGAGGAGGGGTCACTGACAGCACATTAATGCATGTTTCTGCAAGACAAGGGGTTGGACTGGATGGCCTTTGTGGTCTCTCCCAACTCTATAATTCTATGGTTCTATAAATGCCAATAATGTGACTGCATCAGGAGCAATGTTTCACACCTGGAGACTTGCACTACTGAGAGCTCATTGACAGGTTTTCCTTGTCAATGAAAAGGGACACCGTAATTGTGACTGGGGGACACAGCAGCTGTGAGTTGGAAGTAGTGGTAAGCGATATGTTTCACCAGAGCTGCTTTTTCCCAAATCTAATTGTGGTTTTAAAGCTGCATATAGTAATCTCCTGTTTCTTAGAATGCTGTTGAGTAAATGAACAGCAGAAAGGAAGGCTGCAAGACCAAGAATCTGAAGTGTTGGTCAGAAAGACCCATGCCAAGTTGTGCCTTGTCTACTGTTCAGTGATGCCCTGTCAAGTCCTGTCTAAAACCTGAGCTTGGAAATGTTCCTTTTGTGGACTGCAATTCCTCAAACCCACCAGATGACCTGAAGATTCAGGGGTGTAGTTAGGGTTGCCAGGTGTCCCTTATAATTAGGGGTGTCCTTTACTTGAGGTCCAGAAAGCTTTCCTTTATTGGGGCAGCAGGTGACCCTTATTATAAGTGATGTTCCCCTCATTGAAGATTGGAAAGCTTTTCCTTTTATACAGACTCAACAAGTTTCAGAAATTAAGTTAAGTTTCAAATTAAATCCCATATTTTTGGAGTGTGGGCCCTTTTTGAAGCCCTTCATAAAAACAGAAATGTAATTTATGAAAGCAGACAATTTGTTAACTTTATATACATCGCTAGGGTTGCATCTATACCATAGAAATAATGCAGGTTGACACCACTTTAAGTGCTGTAGCTCCATCTTATGGAATCCTGAGATTTGTAGTTTTATAAGTTCTTTAGCCTTCTCTGCCAAAGAGTACTGGGTGCCTCACCAAATTACAAATCCCCAGATTCTGTAGCATGGAACCACAATATTTAAAGTGGTGTCAAACTGCATTATTTCTGCAGAGTAGGTGCACCCTAGGTTACCTGAAATCAATACTGGCATTTGGGTAGTACAAGACCTTACTCATAGCTATTTTCATGAATTTCTGTCACAAATTTCAATTGTTCCTTATTGCTTTCTCGAAAACCTGGCAATGCTAGTTGTAGCCTCATTTGCCTTCCCTGCCACTACTGCCTTTGTTTTGTTCTTTGGTTTTGGGCACAGATGTGTCTTCATGAAGCATTATTTCTCTTCCCAGTTCCTCAACTCTTTTCTGAAAATACTAGAATAAATGAGCCCCAAGCAGGTGCAAAACCCATGCGTGTGACCAGACCAATGGACCCTTAAACGATACCACCTGTACGCAAGTAATCGGGATTCCCATGGCGGAAAAGAATTTTAAACGCTTTCACTCATCCTCTTACTTGGCCAATTAATTGTTTAAAAAGGCCTACCTTCTGGAACGTGTCCTCTGTAAGCTTTATCCCAAACCGCCAAGCGCCTCCAATGAGAGGAAGCCGAAAAGGCCCAGGAGGGTAGCGTCTGCAAGACCAGAACTGTTTCAGAAAGCCTAGAATCAGGCGTGGAATCAGTGTAATCAAACATCCAATTATTCCCAGCATTTTCTTGCCGTCCTCTGCTGGTGAACCGTTTGGGATGGGTTGACCAGTCTTCAATTATGCCCTTTTGCTTTGCCACTTGCAAACTCTCTCTTTGTCTGGCCAGCACCCTTATATGCCTTCTACTTCTTAGGACTTCCTACTGAAAACATCCAATTGAAGTTACCATCTGACATCTTATTCAGGACGCCTGGAATGTGGTCCTCCAGATGTGTATTATGGTACCAAATATAGTTGTCAACATAGTTAATCACTTCATAAGTAACACTCAAGTAATTGAAGGGAAGGTTAATTTCAAAGGTCATTATAACCCAACCCTGGGCAAAGCAGGATCAATTATGTGCCACACACATTCTAGAAATTAACTTACTATATATTTGTGAACTATATGTGGCATCTAAGTACATCACAGTCTCAGACACCAACAGAAAGTTCTTCAAGAATCTTGGAATTCTTTACTTTTCCAAACCACTTTCATGCATGTCCCCTCCTACCATACCATACCAAACTATACCATTTTGGAATATATATATACACACACACACACACACACACACACACATTCCAAAATGCAAACCTGGATTTTCTGACTTTATATAAGGGACACCATATTACTATGCCATTGTAAACAAATATATATTTCAAGCCACGGATGCTTGAATCAGTGGATAAAAAGTCAGTGGATATGGAGGGCTGGCTGTATAAAGCATATATGAAACATAAAAGAATTTCATGTTTAGACCTGAGTGCCATCTCCAAGATATCTCATTATGTATATGCAAATATTCCAAAATCCAAAATACTTCTGGTCCCAAGCATTTCGGATAATAGAGAGACTCACAGTCTGTATTTCCATCTTACTTGCCTCTTTTTTTCCATCTAAGGAGCCCTATTGATCATAACATTTGCTCATAATGGAGTAACTCCAGCCCCACAATCGTTTTGGTTTCCCTTTTCTGTACCTTTTCCAGCTCTATGGTCTCCCTGTATACTTTATATGAGAGAAGTAGAAGCAAACACTAGTGTGGTAGCATGCCACTGATTTATATAAGGGTGGGTTTTTAAAAAAATCTATTCTATTCCTACTACTTTCCAACATGAAATTTGTCTTCCCCCCTCCCCAGTGATTTCCCCTACACTCATAAGATCAGCCTTGTATAGTTGCGGAAAACATGTTCATCTTCCCAGGAAACCCGAGTCTACTATATCTCCGGGAAATAATAATTTCTTGCCTGTCACTTGACAAACTGATTTGAGCCTAGTATGCATCCAAAACGACAACAAGACAACACAAAAATGTGGCATGGCTAATAGTCCCTGCCCTCGACTTCCTTGTTCCCAATGTTGGCTTTTACATCTTGATTTCTTGGGAGGACAAGCCGCTCTTCCAGCTCAAGGATGCCTTCCAGGTGGCCAAGCAGTTATCCCTTTATGGGAACCTGAAATCTAAAGTAATTTCAAAGCTATGTTTTTGACCAGAGGGATAGGGGCATCCAGTTGTATTATTAGAGGGGGCAGGAGAAGGGAAAATGCCCTTCCTCTCGCCATTCCAGCGCTTGCTATCTGGC